TTGCATTAATTTGAACTTGACTCCTACAGTTTGTTTCAATTGTTGGTGTGTTACACGACTACTGAGAATATAAATGCAATTAGTTTCGTACAAGGATATAAATAATTATGCTAACAATATGTAACAATTAAAATTTTTGCATAAATTGTGATGTTAGAGTTTAAACTCAAACCTCTCTTCGTCAAACATATAATTATACTTGATGCATGTATTAAACCGAAATCAACAAACACGTGCAATCCTTTCTGTCATGATGCTTAAGTAAAGTCTGTAACGATGTAACTTAGTCATACTTTTCATTTTTTAAAGTGAAAAGTCGAGAATTCAAATCCACAATTTTACGTCCGATATATGGGTGCGGGTATTAGTTGCACAGTTGAAAAAAGAAAAAAATTGCACAACCAACAAAATTTTTTATCCAAAAAAAAAATTGACCAACAAAAATCTTGCTTGGTCTATGTTAGTAGCAAAATATCAGATCAAAGCTTTGTTTGTTTCGGGGTAATTTTTTTTTAAAAAATTTTATATTGATTTTTTTTTCAGGTAATTTTTTTTAAAAATCAGAACGGTGAAAAAATAAAAGAATTAATTTACCATGTTTAACCCAAAGCCTAATATTCTACTAGTACAATTGAAGCCCAGTAAATTGGAACTAGTCAACGTTGTAGCATCATTTTGTCTCTTAATGTTTGATTAATTCACCCAAACCGCTAAGTCCAATTCCAGTACCATCAACGGAACTATATAATAATCAACCTTCTAACCACTTTATATGGTAGTCAGTTTTGGATCTATTCAAACCTTAATTTGTTGACAACTTAGATTATCCAAATTAATTAATGTTCCAAATAATAATAATATTAATAATATATTAATAAAATTAGGAGTCTAATCCTCCCATACTAAAATACCTCGTAACTACACTTAAATATAAAAATTGCATAAATATAAAAATTGCATAATTAACGAAATCGCGTAGACTCTTTATATATTTATATATATTATTAATTATTTGTCACCCTCTACACAAGTGGATTGTGTTTCATGTGGGGGAGTTATTTATTGTAAACTCCTTGTAGTACTAAAAAAATTAATATGAAATCCAAATTTGATAAAATAATTCTGCTTTCTTTTCTTGTACACGTTGTTTTGACAATTTTTAGAAGTGTGAACAGTTTAATGAAGACTAATTTTTGTATTATATGGTCGAAATGAGTATGTTAGCTAAAATAAGTAATCTGATCCTGTTCAAAATAAGTAATTTGATCCTGCTCAAAATAAGTATTGTAATAATAGACTACATTTTCTTGGACACGTAAAATGTCCGTGTGTGTGTGTTCTAGTAGGTGCATTTAGAGTGTGTAATTGGTGGCATTACTGCAGATTGAGACTTGTTTGGCTAGAAATGGAAAATATTTGTTTTTAGCTAGGTGCATTTACTTCGAATGTGGCATGCCACGTCACTATCATCAACTAGCCTTGCTATAGAAGTCAGACTTTGAATATCTTAACCATGCTTGGCGGACTTTGCAAATATCTTAGTGATTTATATTTATATTTTTATTTTTTGAAATTTCAATGAGAATTATGTCTCCGCTGAACTCGCAATAAAATCATCCCTATTTCTAGACTATGTCCTTATTTTTAGAAAGAGAGTAGGTGTTTCGTCAAACGTATTGTGACATATAATCAAGAATGAATATAAAGAGTATTATTGGGAATTATTATTTTTTAACACATATTACTTTATATATATATATATTTGGACCAATTAGTGAAAATATCAATGTCTCCATTTAATGAAATTATGGTCCAATTGTATGAAATTGAATTCATTGTAATATCCTCCCCAACTCAAACCCAATCATCTCAATGAGATGGAACTATAGAGTGTCATTACGGTTGCACTTATATTATCACCGATTGAATACTAACATTTTGCTGCCAAAAAAGAGAAAAAAAATTAAATTATTGAAAACGGACATTTAATTTGGAATTTAATAATTAGTTTTTCTATTTAATTTTTTTTTTTAATTTATCCATTGGAATGTGCCACACAAGAAGGCATTTCTTTTTCACACCCATAAACCTTCCAATCAATATTGGTTTATTAGATAAATCGAATCTTTAGAATAATGGAATATAACACGGTGACCATTCAGCTGATCATTTTAATTATGGTACTTGATCTGATTTTTCTTTCAACTTTGAAGAATAAGAAAATGCATTACTGATATTGGATCTTATTTACTATTTTACCACCACTTAGAATTGACTGCACACATCAGTACATCACGTTGAAATGTTGATGACCAACGGTTAACCTACGTTGGCTAATCACGTACTAATACGTAGTATAATTGTGCAGATTAGTTTGGTTGTCAATTCATATTATTGACTAATGCCATCAGTAACCATCTTAGTTATTTTTCACGAAAATTTATCATGAAAAATGTCATTTTCCTTTTTTGACCTTTAGTTCGCACTTTGAAAAAATTAGGCCATATGAAATTTCGATATTGTCCCATATCCTTTGAAAATTTTTGGGTGATTTGAGCAAATATTATATTAGGTAGTTATCCACGCTTTGTATGTGGACCGTTAAATTAAATCTTACAGCACTATATGTTTTTTCCTTTTACCAGAAAACCACCATCTGTTTATTTTAATTTTCAAATTTAAGATTATTAATACCACCTAATTTAATAGTTAAGGTAATTACAAAAAAATATATATATTTTATATTTCTCGTCATATCTCTTGCTCCTCTCTCAAACAAAGAAATTCTTTTCATTCATATCTGATCTAGTCCCAGAATTTTTAAAATAAAAATCAATACCAACCAAATTTAAGAAATAAAATAAAAAAACACCCGTATTGTCAAAATAGAAAGTACTCTGCTCTCTTCACGTCTTTTGCTCACATGTCTGTCTCTCTCAAAAATTAAAAATTAAAAATTATACTCTCACGTCTCTTGGAATAAAAGTCAATACTAGCTTGAAATCTCATACGGCCATGTCCATAAGATGGAATTCTTACATTAATTATTTTTTTCTTCTTCTTCTTCTTCTATATATATATATATTTTTTCATTGTTCCTTGCTTTGTTGATTTAATAACACCCTTATTATTTTGATACCATTATTACTTTGTTATCTCTCTTATATGAAATTATTTGTTAATCTATTCATCTTTTCATTTTTTTCATTTTCGTTCTCTCTGAAAAATCAATTTTTTAATTATGGTATGGAATTCTTTTACATGTGTTCAGTAATATGCTGGGATTGCATAAAAAAAAAGGAAAGAAAATTGCCTTAATTATTAAATTGGATGGTATTGAGAACCTTAAATTTGGAAATTAAAATAGGTAGAAGGTGGTTTTCTAAGAAAGAAAACTAATTGATTTGGAATGTGACCGCTAGATTTAATTTAAGTGTCCAAATAAAAAGTAAGTGTGGATAAATTCTCTTACTCACGGGTGAAAAAGAGATCAGGACTATATATATATATATATGCTTGAATGTGACGTAAGCCGAAGTCATAAATTTGTTCACGACAAACAAGTTTCCTTAAATCCACAAAACAAAAAGAGAATTCAGAGAAATGTGATATATTATTTAATAATTAAATGAATAAAAGGTTAATTATGCACTTTGCAGTATACGTATTTATAATTATAGAAAACTTACCTCTAGAGGAAAAATAAAACATAAAAGAAAACGTAATAGCAAAAGGAAAACAATGGCTCAAAGAAATTTAATAAAACAATACTTCCTATAAAAAATATAAATTAAAAAATTAAAAAATCTAAATATTAAGAATTACTAAGTATGATAAAACCGTCCACATCAAAACTCGAGGTTAAAACATGAGCAACACAATTCTCCTAGCGGTGGGGTTGGCTAAAACGTTATGCTTTAGGGAGGTGTGGTTTGAATGTGACGCCAAAATTGTCTAAAGTGGAGATTTCATCAATTTTGTGTGACATCAAACGTGATTTGGAGGCTTTCTTATGATATTTATGAGTATTGCTCGATATTATGAAATTTGTTTTTCGAAATATTTATCACAATAATTGGAATTAATCACATTTCAACTTAATTATCACACCTCATAAATTTTGTAGATTGATAGAATATTTACTCCCTCCCATCCTTAATTAAATGTTCACATTTTTCATTTTTGAATGTCCCATTTAAAAATTTAAAGTACTATTTTTTTATTTATTTATTTTTTTTATAACATTACTAATTTAACCTTCTTACATTTAACTTATAAAAATTAAACCATCATATCTTGTGTATCCACAATAGATATATTTGATAATTTATTCACTATTAATATAATAAAAAAATATTAAAACTCATTCCCTTAAAATATTAGATTCACAAAAAGAGACTTATAGAATTAAGGTTGTATAAATTAAGATTACGTGTAGATAACTCGATAACCCAGTGGTTAGTGCTTTCGGTGAATTTTGAAAGCTCTAGGTTTCGACTCTTTGTACTTACTAATCTAACTTCTAACCCTTCTTGTTATAACGTAAATCCCCCTGATCAAGCGCTTTAAATTAATGTATTATCGAAAGATAAACTTAAATTGTGTCTTTAAAAACTTTTGTAGCATGTATAATATAGTAGTACGGAGTAATAATACTAATTCTAATAATAAATTCGACCATGAGTACCATTTTTCATATCAAAATTAGGAAAGAGTCAAAAAAAAAAAAAAAAAAAGAAAAAAAAAAAAGAAAAAAAACACGACGAGGAAGGTGCACCATATTTGAAAGATAAACTTAAATTGTGTCATATTAAAAACTGTTATAACATGTATAATACTGGTATAGTATAGTATAGTAGGGTGTAATAATACTGAAAAAAAAGTAATAAAATCCACCATGAGTACCATTTTCCATATGAAAATAAAAGAAAGAGCCAAAATATAGAAACAAAGAGGAAGGTGCACCATATTTGAACCGTGTGAGTGTAATTTTCTCATTGCCTCATAATTTGAACGGTCAATTCTTTTACGAGTCAGTCAGTCGTGTTGCGCGAACTCAGTTTTGTTTTTCCAAATAGCGCCCATCTTTGATTAATTCTTTTTTTTTTTTATTTTAAAATTCCACAGAACTTTCTCTACTACAAACATCTATCCAGCTCTATAAATATCACTTACATGTGCCCTTCATTTTTCATCGCCTATTGTTACAACCACCCAACACCTACTTTCTCATTCTCATAGCATAACTTAGCAGCCACAACTCTCTCTCTCTCTCTCTCTCTCTCTCTCTCTAGATTTCTGAAAAAAAAAACTCTGATATCTCTCTCTCTCTCCATGGATCCTCCTGTTAATGTGCCTAGATGGACACCAAGTCCTAGCCCAACAAGAACCCATCTAAAGGAGCCCATAAGAAAGGACAGTGTTGAGAGTGTTGGCACAGAAAGCTTTGCTTCAGAGGAAGATGACATGTCATTCGACACCGGAATTTCAAGCTTCCCATTCAGCACCACTTCCCATTCTAATAGTACTACCAGTCTTCCGCCACATCATCAATATGTTGGTCCTAATATTACTAATAATGGCCGATCCACTAGTCCTCCACCGCCTGTAGTACCACCTCGTCCTCGTTTTGTTCCTAATACTAGTGTTTCTACTAGTCCGCCACAAGCGCTGTCGCTGAGGGTTGATGATTCCGATATCAAACGGTCGTTGGAGGTGGACCAACGAGTAGCTGTGGCGCCGGTTGTACTGCCCCATTTCAAAGCGCCATCTCTGAGGGTTGATGATTCTGAGATCAAACGGTCGTTGGAGGTGGAACAACCTGTCACGGTGGCACCGGTTAGGAGGGCGGAAGAGAAAGTGATCCGGTTTGATGATGATGCTCCTTTGAAATCATCAAGGGGTAGTGGTATTTACATGACATGGAAGGATTTGTGGGTGACGGTGCCGGACAAGAAAGGCCGTCGCCGCCCTATCTTGCAGGGGCTCACCGGGTACGTTGAACCCGGTGAGGCTTTGGCCATCATGGGACCTTCTGGTTGTGGCAAGTCTACCCTTCTTGATACGTTGGCAGGTAATATTCTCAGCTTCTAGGCTGATCATTATGTTCACATTTTAATTGCATGTTTCTGTTTTTCGTTATTAGATTTTTTTCTATTAAATGAAAAACTAGTTTTTTAAGAAAAAATTTTTTTTTGCAAAAAAAAAAACATGATTTTTCATTTGATATGTTAATAGAAATGTATAAAAAATTAAAGTCTAGTGGTCGGCCGTTAATCCTAATATAATAGATTAAATGCTAATACAACTGGGTAATTGAAAAACTAGCATATATGTAATCAGACTATCAAGACTTGAACGAGTTCACTTTTCTTCCAAACAATAGAACTAAATTAGGAAGAAGACTGTAGGGAGTTGTTAATTATATATATATATAGAGTATATGCTTGTTTTAACTGCCTAAAAAAAGAATAAAAAAACATTTAAACATTCTTATCATTTATCAAGACACAAATAACAAATTAACTCTTATTAATCAATTCATCAATGGAATAAAATTAGCGTCACCTAATGACGGTTTAATGTTATCGTGACATTAATACCCCTAGAAAAATTAATACAGTAATTTATCTAATGCGGACTAAGCCTCCTGAATTGATGCTTTGAATAATAATAGTTTATAAATCAAGATATATTTTAAATATTTTATTTGACTAAGCTTCCTGAATTGATGCTTTGAATAATAATAGTTTATAAATCAAAATATATTTTAAATATTTTATTTTATTCTTAATCGCTTACCTAACAGTGAAATGAAAACAATATTTTTGTTGGTTTTCCTTGTAGCTAGTATTCCATAGGGTAACGCAAATATATATATTAATATATTAATATTTTTGTATACTTGTAGATTAAAACTTTGACTTCCACTTGACATAAAATTAAGGATCAATGGCACGTGTACAAAGAAATTAATATTCTTTGTATGTCTCTCAAGACTTGAATGCGTCTGTCTAGCTTGACATTAACACAATCTAACATATATTCGAATCATGACGTGTTTTGAGTATACAAATGATCTTTAATCAATCATTGACTATTTTTCAGGAAGATTAGGTTCCAACACGATGCAGACTGGAGAAATCTTCATCAACGGTCGTAAACAATCGCTTGCCTTTGGCACTTCGGTAAGAAAAAATTGAAAATTTTACTTGGACCTAGCTAATTACACTGTGTGTGTATATATATATATAATATATAATAATTGTAGAAGAGTTGGAATTCCATTGGCCACTGAAATAATATATTTTTGTGTGAGCCATTTCAATCGTTCACTATTGTATAACACTCATATTAATTGTATAATTTAAAATCTGACTCACCGTAGAAAGATTTTAGATTTGTTATACATACATGCAAGACAAGTATACATTTATTTCAAATGAAAATACTTGAGGGGACTCCTAACCCGGAAAAAAATGGTTATGCATGTGAGCCTATTTTGGCATTTTTTGCAGCTCATTTCTTTGATTTTTTTATTTTAAAAAAAAAAAAATAAATAAATAAATGTTGATAGTGATTTATGTGATGCAGGATCAGCAAGAATAATTCATATCTATAAAAATGATTTTTATAATCTTATATATCTCTAGATTGAAAGTGATTTTTTATTTTATGTTAATAATCATTCCTTTTCAGTTTGTGGCTCAATTCTATTAATAATTTAATATGTTAATTATTTTTGCTCCTTGATTATACATGCGCTCAATGACTGTCCACTTTATAACCACAATTATTTTCATTTTCTAACCAATAAATTATTTATTTTATTTATTTAGGCCTATGTGACACAAGATGATACATTAATGACGACATTAACAGTAAAAGAAGCAGTGTATTACTCAGCTCAGCTTCAACTTCCAGACACCATGTCAAGATCAGAGAAGAAGGAAAGAGCAGAGGCCACAATAAGAGACATGGGCCTGCAAGATTCCATGAACACAAGAATTGGAGGGTGGACGAAAAAGGGTCTGAGTGGTGGACAAAAGCGAAGAGTCAGCATTTGCATTGAAATCTTGACCCGCCCAAAGCTCCTCTTCCTGGATGAGCCCACCAGTGGGCTAGACAGTGCAGCCTCTTTCCACGTCATGAACCGTATTATCAAACTTGCCAAACAGGACGGAAGGACAGTCATTGCTTCTATCCATCAACCTAGCAGTGAAGTCTTTGAACTCTTCCACAATCTCTGCCTGCTCTCCTCTGGCAGGACTGTCTATTTTGGTTCCACTTCAGCCGCAAATGAGGTAATTACTACTAATTCGAGAGTCCAAATCCTTTGCAGTACTACATTGAAATGCTCACAAGTTGTGACGTATCATGCTTGTGGGCCTTCCGATGCAGTACAACACTGCATCAGATAACCTAATTAACATGACTGACTCGGGTTAGAATTGTCGAGTTGGGCTTGGGACTGAATTAATGGTTTTATACCAATCCATTTGAGTAACCTAGATGGTTGTCAAAAAAAATCTAATTTTAGTGAAGATTTTATTGAATTGTTTGTTGTGATTTTGTTGCAGTTTTTTGCTATAAATGGCTTCCCATGTCCATCTATGAGGAATCCATCTGATCACTACCTCAGAACAGTCAACAAGGACTTTGATACTGTAAGCACTTATTTCATCATCACTCTTCGTTATTGATAAATCATTAAATTACTTGATCATGATAGATTTGTGAAATTAATTATTGCCATTTTATTTATCTTAGGACATTGAACAAGGATTTGGCGGGAAAACAAGCACAGTGGAAGCTATAAACATTCTTGTCAAGTCATACAAGTCATCAGAAGCTTGCCAGCAAGTTCAACACCGAGTAGACCAGATATGCCAACAGGTAATTAATCAAGTCATTAAAGTTAATTGCAATCTTAACATAGAATTTAGAATTAATCTAAATGTCCCATGTATGCGAAATGAAGTTACTGAAACAGCTTTTTGATTCATCTGTAGAATGGAGGAACATTGGAGAAGAAGGGAAGCCAAGCCGGCTTCATCAATCAATGCCTTGTTCTTACTAGGAGATCTTTCGTGAATATGTATCGCGATCTTGGCTATTATTGGCTTCGTCTTGCAATTTACATGGCCTTGTGCTTGTGTGTGGGGACTATTTTCTATGACATTGGATCAACTTATGGTTCAATTCAGGTAACTTTGAATACTATACGACTAAACCAGTATAATATGATTGTTTTATATGTATCAGCTATATATATATATATATATATAACTAAACACACATTTCACATGTAAATTTACAGGCTAGAGGCTCAATGCTCATGTTTGTTGGAGCATTCTTGACTTTTATGGCCATTGGTGGATTTCCTTCTTTTGTGGAGGACATGAAGGTATAATCTATAAGCAACCATAATTAATTTTGCTATAATTACAACTTTGTGTAAACTGTGTCTGATACATGTGTGTTTCTTATGAAAATCAGATTTTTACGCGGGAAAGATTAAATGGGCACTATGGAGTGGTTCCATTTGTTGTGGGGAACACATTTTCTTCCATTCCTTATTTGCTATTGATCTCCGTGGTACCTGGAGCAATGGCTTATTACCTTGTTGGGCTTCAAAAGGGAATTGACCATTTTATCTTCTTTGCTCTGCTGCTCTTCGGCTGCATGATGCTGGTGGAAAGCCTCATGATGATCGTGGCTAGTATCGTGCCAGATTTTCTGATGGGCATCATCACCGGGGCAGGAATCCAAGGCGTGATGATGTTGAATGGAGGCTTTTTCCGACTGCCAGATGATCTCCCCAAGCCATTCTGGAGGTACCCAATGTACTACGTCGCCTTCCACAAGTACGCGAATCAAGGGTTCTACAAGAATGAGTTCATAGGACTGTCATTCCCTAACGAGCAGGTAGGAGGGCCAACCACCATTACAGGGGACCAAATACTGAGAAACTTTTGGCAAGTCGAGATGGGTTACTCTAAGTGGGTAGATTTTGCCATATTGATAGGAATGGTGGTCCTTTATAGGTTCATGTTTGTGGCAATTTTGAAGACTGTTGAGAAGGTTAAGCCCATGATCAGAGCTCTTCTCGCCCCTTCTCCTAAGAACTCAACTCAAATGGAAGATCCCACTTCATCACCTTGACATGAATCAAGAATGCCTTTTCAATTAATTTTATTTGTAAGTTTGCAGTGTAATTAAAGTGTTACTTCAAGTGTAATCAATGTCTTTTTTTTTTCTTTTCTTTTTTTTTTTCTGGTTAAAGTGTAACAAAGGTTGGTGATGAAGACCAATGACTTGTTGGTCTACTAGTGTGAGATATATTGAATTGTTTGTGAAATAAATAGAAGTAATCAGAGTTCCGGAATGAATAGTATTTGATGTTGAGTTTCAATTTCTTCTACTCTATGGTTAAGAGAAAATGAAGCCTTTTTTTTTTTTTTTTTTTGTTACATTCCCTCAATGAACTTTATCAATACATTCCCTAGGTTTTTCACTCGAGATGCCACAAATTCGACAAATTTTCACTTCAAATTTCAACCTTGATTACTGTTTAATAATTCAAAGAAGAGTCTTTCTAATGCATTTTACGTTTTCATGGCAAGTAAACTCGTACTTGCTTTTTAAACTTGGAGATTCTACTTTTCCTTTGAGAGGTGGAGAACATATCACTCAAGTCAAGATTTATTGATAGAGTTTTACTATTTGAGCTAAAATCTGCTCAAATTGATATGCACAAATAGTCGGGAACATATATACCACACCAGTATGTGAATATTAGTTTAGGCCGATTTCAAAGTAGAGCGTTTTCTTTATTAAAGGAATGCAAAATGATAGTGAAGGGTTTTTTCGGCCTACTCCAGTGATTTTCATTGTATAAACAAACAATTCTTGCAAACCCATTCTCAATTTAAAAGGCTTGTTAAGCTTGTCGTTTAGAAAACAATTCTTAAGAATTAAAAAAAAAAAAAGTTATTTTCAAATAATTATAAAAAAAGAGTTATTTGAAAACATGTTTGTTTTTTTTTTTTTTTTTTTTTTCTTCCTTCTATATTTTTTGTAACTTAGTTTTTCATAAAACTGAAGTTTTTGTACAGTGCTTTGATTTTCAGTCTGAAAATAAAAATTATTTTTACAGTGACAAATCAAGCCGTCCCAAAATTTATACCATAATTTCAAGTTAATAATAAATTTTATTGTTGACCCAAAACTACTCTGTAATTTAATTATTTTTTTTGCTACTTTTTCTCAACAACATGAAAAACATGCAAATATCCAGAATTATAGAAACATGTGAATGGTTCTTTGTTCGAAATTTTCCAGTCAAATAAAGGAAGAGGTGGTCAGATCTTCTTAATCCAACTTTATTTTCCTAATGAGCAAATTTTCCAAGCACAACTAGAACATAGGCTAGAAATTGACTGCCGTTTTCCTACCATGACTTGTCAATTAGGAGACTCTGTTAAATTCTAGGCTTGGACAAATATATATATATATATAATATTGACTGCTTAATTTACTACCATGACTTGTCAATTAGGATACTCTGTTAAATTCTAGGTTTGGACAATATATATATATATGTGTGTGTGTGTGTGTGTGTGTGACTTTGTTAATTCTAGCCGTAGGCGCTAATCTTGTTTAGCTTCTAGACTCTCATACTTTGACACAGGTCTCATACAAAAATTTAGAATGCGACAGTTGATTTATTTACGTCTTCAAACTTGACAATTCATTCCCACCATACATGTAGAATCGTAGATCTTGACCTGTATTTCAGCCGGGAGCCAAACAACTACTAGTACTAAATGTAATATGTTACTTATTTGGTTCAAAGTTTTAAGAATAGTTTTTTGTTTTTTTAAAGAAGATAATCTTGGTGGTTATTTTTTGAAAAACTAGCAAGGAAAAAAAAAATAAAGAAAAAAAAAAAAAAGCCTACTTTTCGATGATTTTATAACACAGTTAACAACAGTGCAAGCAATTCCAAATTTAGTCATGATATTGTCTATTTTGAACTTAAGGTAACACAGTTTTGTTTTTAAATTTTGTCTCCAAAGATTTAATGCAATTAAAGATAGCATCACCACATATAAACGCGTTACATTTTTTATACCCAAAAAATGTAAAACTGTGCAACTTGTAGCGCTTTCAATGCCTATTAACGTCCACCCACATATGCCGTCGCATATAATTTTTTGCTCAAGAGACATCCAAAGAACAGGGCAATGTCCAGGGACAGGTCCTTTGAACCAAATCATGTCTTTTAACTGAGCCACATTGCCTCTACTGAACCATATCTTACTGTTTATCTATTCAAATAAGTAGCCTTCCGTGACCTGTGTGATTGGTGGATCACAACAACTACGATGAACCGCAATTGTTGTGATAAATTTTTAGGCAATTGCTAGGGCATCTTTCAATAAAAGCATCCATGATAAACACAATAATTAAATTTTGACACTGGGAGGTGTTTGTCATTTTCTTTAACTAAAGTAAAAAGTGTTAAAGCAAATAGAGCTGGTTTTATACGGTTATATATACCATAAAGTTTGGACATTAAGTTATAGTTGGAGGATATATCTGGACTCATTCATTTACATGCAATGGAAGTGTACCGATAAACCATAGCTCCAAATATGGAGGACTTCCTTTCTGATTGACTTATTCATGTTTATGAATGAAATTTAGGTGTGTTCAGGTGCTTGAAATTGAAGTCTTTGAATTGAAATTGGTGAAATTGGAAAAAAAATAACTAAGAAAATTAAATCAAAATTTTCTCAAATTCCAATTCCAATTCCAATTCCAATTCCAAAACTCTAATTTCATGCAGCCGAACACACCCTTAAGGTAAAAAAAGAAAATTATAAAAACATGTAGTTTGATTGGCATGTCACTTGATTCATCTGCATCCAATATTCAGGTTAGTATGAATTTTGCAGAATTCACCTCAATTAATTAGGGCAAATACCCTACTTGGCCTATCTTTTATCGGGAGTTCAATAATTTGAACCATAATTTAGAACTCATATCACAATCACCTACTATAACATATTGTTATTCATTGTGACATGCCATAAATCTAAAATGAGTTTTTTCCGCCAATTAATGGATAAGTTATGCATTTGAGAATTTTTGCCAATAAGCATAAAGATCCAACAAGTCTCAACGGGTAAAATTGAAAAATTATTAGATAGTTTTGAATTATTAATAATTGGTGGAACAGTTTAATTGTTCAATTGAAAAAGTGATTCTACAAAAATGTATTAATATACATGTATTTGTGAAAACCTAATTGATTGGATCGCGCAATTGATTGGATCTGAATGTTGGGTTTGCAGGAGCTAGATGAGATGAAGAAACGATTAAAGGAGATGGAAGATGAAGCCGCCGCTATTCGTCAAATGCAGGCCAAAGTCGAGAAGGAAATGGGCGCTGTTCAACGTTATTTTATGTCTTCTTCTTTTTTTCTTTTTTTTCTTTTTTTTTTTCTTTCTAAGCCTTCACATCTTCAATTTTTTTTAATCTAGTATATGACTTCTTTGTGTTTGTTGGTTGCAACTTTAGTAAGCTAGCTCTTAATAGTCCTGGCATTGTGGAGCACGGTTTTAGCAATTTCTAAATCGTCCTTAGGGCAAATATATATAAATAAATATATATAAATATATAGACATAGAGTAACAATGGTCTTGAAAATTGATGTATAATTTACTCTTTTTGGTTTTGCTAATAGGGAAAATGCGATTAAAGGAATATTGTTGTGTGGTAACTGATATGATTGATTTCACCACTTTAGATCCTGATTTAGTCATATAAGCTTGATGACCTCATTGGTATGGCCATGAAAAATACGATTTTTGTTATCTTTAGATTCTCATAAAAAAAGATATTTGTCATTTGCCACTTTCCATGTTGCTGAATATTTTCTTGTTAAGAATTATGTCTCAAATTCCCATTATTATTAGTTTCTATTTTAGAGTATAATTTTATGGTAATTTCTTATAGAAATATGAATTGGGCTATAAGAAATTGTAATCCTTATCCACAAAGGAATTAGGTATGTGACTCTATAAATAGACACTTAGGCTATTGTTGAGAGTTATGAGTTCAGAGAGATATAACCTCATGAGGGAGTACGTTGATGGTAGGGGTGAGTTACGGGTTTGGTAGAGTGAATACTGATGGTGAGAGGGAGTCTCGTGGCGTACACGGAGATCTCGGTCAAGAGTTTGTGTGCATGGTCCGGTGTTGAAATTCTCTACTATTGTAATATCTCTACATATACAATAAATCTCTTCTCATTCGTGGATGTAACCCTGATTTTGGGTGAACCACGTATATATTTTGTGTTGTGGTTTGAATTATTGTTTTCTTTCTTTCTTTTGCTTCCGCTGTTCCCCAACAACTGGTATCAGAGCCAAAGGTGAAGGAGATCCAGAAAACACAAGAAGTCTCAACATGTGCTATAACGGGCTTTAGTTGTAGGTGGAGTCAATCGGTTTGATTACATGGCATAGAGCTTGAGAAGTCAAGGTGGAGCCTTGGGGTTTTGACTGATTGAGCAACATATAGTGAAGATAATCCGAGTTCTACAATAAGATCTCGAAGATTAAAGTTGCAAAGAATTGTTCAGATTCAATTGTCATAAGAAGCGATGATTGACGTAATGGAATTTGAGCCAAGGTGGAGATATGGTATCTTTGTTGGGAGAGATGACAATAAACAAACACAGCGAAATAATTCTTCTCCCTATATGCAAGCAAATATAGTATATCTCTACTTTTATATGTGCTGAAAATAATAGAGGACAAATCAATCACACCAAGCTATAAGAACACAATCAATTTTTTACGTAGAAAACTTCCTCAGTGTGAGGAAGAAAAACCACGGGACCTAGTCCAGTTAAAATCTCCACTATCAACCAAATAATGGGTACACAAAGTCTTCTCTAATCGCAAGTAGAGGCTACAAAACATCTCATCAAGATAGCAACAATCTTGACAAAAAACAAAGAGAATTGGAGAGAAAAATACCAAAACCCGGTTACTGTTCATGGGCACGAATCACTGTTCCCGAACTCAAAATTCGATCTTCACCGTTCAGATTTTAAATCATTGAGTCATGAACCTCTCCTCCAAATTTCAGCTCGATCGGACCACGGACGAAGCAGGATCGGACGTTTGATGAAATCTGGGCAGAATAGAAAAACCTGCTTTTTTCTCCCAAAACCAGGTTACTGTTCACGGGCACGACTC